GTGTCTTGGGACTGCAGGAGGAATCTGGAGGATCACTGAGCATTGATAAGTGTTTTCTGTATTTTCCCTTTGAGATCAATGAAATTCTATATTAATCTCTACCATAGTGTATATAAACATGGACAAGCCATCACCACTTCCTGCCACTATGCAAAAATCGTCAAAACATCACCAGTATAATAGCAACCATCTAGAATTGACACACATTTTGCAGATTCTGTGCAGTAGAGACCAGAGGTGGAGCCACAGCATCAGGTTGCCACTGAAAGCTTTGACAGAATAAACCACCTTTTTACCAGAGAGGCACCGACTGCAATTTTCTGGGTTGACTCTGATTTCCAATCTTTTTGAAGTCGGACCTGCTGATTCTCTAATCGACAGCATACACAGACATTTTTGTAACATTTCTTTCATGAACAATTTTATTGTAATAAAAATAAAGCACCTTTTCTCTTCTTTTTACACTCCTCCAAATAAAAATAAAGTGCAATATTTGTAGTTCTCCAAATATGTATGAACAGATGCAACAGGTAACAGAAACAGAAGAACGCCTGTTACCACTGAGCACACAGCTCTTTTTGAAGTGTGTGTAGTGCCTATTTGTTGTTTTACCATGGGCTGTATAAACTGGACATATACACGCATCCCACGTGTAGCCAGTAATTCCCTCATTGCGTGCTGTTTGTCGGAGTAGTAGACGTATAGTTTCCCTTCTCCAAGGTGTTTCTGTAGCTCCTCTGTGCGCTGTTTGTGCACCAAGCGCTTCCAATGTGGGGATGAACATGCGCCTGGTACAGACTAGAGCGCGAACCTCGCTCTGGGTGCATGCACATGCACACACTATGCTTTTGGTCTGTGCCACTGCGTGCCTCTAAATGTGATCGGAATACAATCAAAAATCTCAGTGATCAGCCGATCACGCTGAAAACTGGCCATTTCTGATTCATCTCTACTTTTTAGATAATTAAATAACTAACTAACTACAATCTAACCACAACAATGACAAGCTATACACACACCTGCCTGATTAATATCTTCCAAAAATGACAGAAATCACCTTTGGAGAATTTGAGTTTTTAGTCTGGCTCATGCAGAGGAAACAGGGTTTATGTGACCTATACTGGACAGTATAGGTCACATAAACCCTATACCGGAACCAGTATAGGTCACCAAATTTTGTTTTTAAAGTCTTGACTGCAACTTCTTTTATTTCTTTATCCGTTTATCAATACATCTGTATGTATGGCTGGATAAAAATACTGATTTTCCATTTTAATGTGATTCTTATTTCAAGGATTCCATAATGTACAGCTGCACTAAACATTACGTGTATGCAGAGGCTACTTGTTAGAGGCTAAAAGCCAGTTCATGCTTTCCACATCTGCATGTCCACTAAGGTCGAGTAATGTAATTTTCATCATCTTCTCAAACCAGCAAGCGTCCATGTGGACCCTGTGCACAGACCAAAAGTTTGCGTCCGCATGGTCAAAGCCCCCAATGCGCATGCACCAGGAAACCAAAATGAATGCCTGTTTTGAAGAGTAGTTATATGAAGACATCTGCTGCTACGTACCTACATCTTTATCATGCCTCATTAAAAGAGTATAAAGATACTAAAATGGCTCCGAACTCCTGGACGGAGATTGGCCAAACCCTTGGTAGAGACACAGGCTTGGTGTGTGCATAGATGGGTACATGTTGTTTTCTTTTAATGCACATGCTTGGAAAGAACATCAAAATGCATATGCTTGGAGAATGTAAGTGCATGCAGACAGAAGTTAGCCCCTCTTTTGGAAGTATGAGTTGGAGCGCGTGTGAGCCCCTCTTCCGTGTCCACGTATGCGCAAGGGTATACGGAAACCATTAATTCACCTTAAGTGGTTCAGATCCAGCTTCACAGTGTCTAAAATGTCTTCTTAATGGAAAACGAATTGTTACAACAAGCACAAAAAGGAAATTTTAAGTCAAAATAACGTAGATGATAGCTGGCTATTACAGGTCGTAAACTTGCTACACAGGCACAGGGCAAAAGTTTGCCTGAGGCCGCCCCCTCAAAGTTGACTAGTCGAATTATTAGTCATGAGGCCTGCCAGTTGACTGAGTCTCTTCTAGTTGAACCTTGGTTTTTATTTTATTATATTTCACTTTTTGTCAGCCAGTGTGCATTACAATAGAAGGCAGCCCCAGCCCAATAGTTTGTCAATGCCTTCTCCTCATTTTAGTGTGCAAAGCAGCATATTGCTCAATTCTACCCCCTTTGGTGACCCTGTCCGATGCATGGACGTACCAGATCCAGTGATACTATTTAGCAAACTGCTGCCCAGAAGGAGGACAAAATGACAGCATAACCCGCTAGGACAAGACACATAAAGGTGAGATTTGTACTTTAAGTGTTTTCAAACATCGTGGTCTTTTACAAGAGAAAAGACTTTAACGTCATGAGGATGTGGCTGGTTTTGCATATGTGAGTCTAGTTTGCTTAAACATCTCCATTCAAGTTTATCTTATGTTTCTGCGATGTGCATCCATCGGACTGGGACTAGGAACTTAACAAAATGTGCTTGGAAAACATTGTAATGAAGAGGAATCATAAATATATATACTTTAGCAGTGCAAGTTGGAACACATCAAATGTAACAACATGCGCCGTGGTTAATTGCCAAGAGAATCTCAAATTTGTTGGTAAACTCGGTTATAACCATGTCTCAGAAGAAACAACTGCTTATAAGAGCATTTGTTTCAACAGAAATACCAGTCAGCAGCCTGTCTTGTTATTCTGACAAAACCATATGGCAGCCCGACATTAGATATTTCGCATTTGACTATCAATGTTAATGTGGTCGAAATCATCAGTGAAATTCATGCCAGTTTTCTGACAGTCTAGGATATATATACACACGCACACACACACACACATATATAAAAAAAAAATCCCCACTCGCCCCCCACTTTGGGGTGGTCTTGTGTTCCTTCCTTCAAGCACAGGTCCTCTACCAGAGGCCTGGGAGCTTGAGGGTCCTGCGCAGTATCTTAGCTGTTCCTAGCACTGCACTCTTCTCGACAGAGCTCTCAGATGTTGTTCCTGGGAGATATATACACACACACACACATATCCATTATCGACCGCTTATCGAGGCTTGGGTCATGGTGGCAGCAGGTTCAGTACGGTAGCCCAGACGTCCCTCTCCCTAGCGATGTGTTCCAACTCCTTTGGCGGGATTCCAAGGCATTCTCAGGCCAGATGAGATATATAATCTCTCCAGCATGTTCTGGGTTGGTCCGGGGTCTCCTACCAGATGGACGTGCCCAGAAGACCTCCAAAGGGAGGCACCCTGGAGGCATCCTGATAAGATGCCTGAACTACCTCAACTGGCTCCTTTCGATGTGAAGGAGCAGTGGTTCTACTCTGAACCCCTATATATTTTTTTAAGTAATGAACAGTCAAATTGTTGCACTGAACAACCAAATCCAAGTCGAATGACAAAATTCTTGGTCGGGTACAGCCCTACTTTACAGCCTATCATGACTCAGGATGTTAACTGACTGTGGCTAACTCGTAGCTGACTTAGAGGGAGAGCCAGACTGATAAAAGCCTTTGACACTGATCTGAGCTTGGTTTGCTGTGTTGAACAGATATTATCTCTGGCTACGAGACATGAGGCCGTGGAAGTCGAGTGAACACTGTGCAGCTTCTACTTTGTTTGGCCTGCTCCTGTTGGGAGCTAACGCCAGCTAGCAGCTGTCTGCAGGCATCAGGCTGATGTCAACAAAACGGTGCAGGTGAGCTGGTTTCGGTCCTGTCTGTGCTCAGACTGAAGTGGATGTCTGGACTGAAGCAGCAGCTGATGTGTGGAGCCATGTGGGAAAGTGTTTATTTTCTGCATTATGCAGAGTGATGACAGCATTGTTAGTGCTGTGAGGGTTTTATTATCCCCACAACACAAATACTGTTGTGTTTTGCTTCAGCTGTTTTACATTTGCAGAGGAAAATTCTTGAACACCACATTATCCAAACTCATGAAAACAACAGAATTACTCAATTGTTGAATGCTGAAACAAAGTTAGCTCCAAAAAAGCACTTTATTTATTTATTTAATCTTTAGTTCACCAGGAGAAAATGGCCCCTAGAGGTTTACAGGCTCTTTTGCAAGGGGACCCAAGAAAAACACTGGCATGAAAAGGTTTATGCAACACTGGCATTTATCTGAAGTAAAGGAATCATCATGAATCAAATCAAAATTGATGTACTTGAAATTCAAATTAATGGAACTGAAACCCTACCTGTCTGCCGGGATGTTTCAGCAGCTCTGTTTAATGCATTTTCAAATTTTGTCTAAAACAATAAGTGACATTTTAACAATTTACAGGCAGGTCAAAGGTCACTCCTGGCCCACACTTCCTGTATGACAACGTACACACACACACACACACACACACACACCTCCCCCTCCCCCCACTCGTTTCCTCCTGCAGGACAAAGCGGCCACGCTGCTGCTAAGGGACACACACTCAAACACACAAAAACAAACGGAAACACAACCTGCAAAGGTTCACAGTGAACACACACGCTACTAACCCCCCCCCCGCACCCCACAGAAGACATCAAAACCGGTTAAGGTGTGAACTAAAATGAAAAAAGTCCTTTTCCTGTTTCTGTGCTCCGCCACTTCACCGTTTGTTCACACACATCCTGCTTCAACACACATACACATCTGAGCCCAATCACCGATCAATCATCTATAATAACTATCGACAACCCTCGAACATCTGCAGTAACGGAACAAACCAAGGTCGATGATTTCCAGATGCGAGAGAGTGCGAACAAAGCGGAACAGACGGAAAGTGAGACAGACTCCCAAAATCCACTTCTCTGTCTGATCAATGACATCCAAACTGTCTGATCAGTTCCAAATCACCAGTATCTATCGGTATCGATCACTAAAGAGAGCGTCCACGCACCCGTGAGTCCGTTTCTTTCTTTTTTTTTCCGATGAACTCACCTTCACGTTGGTTTCCTTCATCCTGCCCTGTCTCCTGCTCTCCAGCAGCCGGGACATCCCCTCCGAAAAATCAAACCGCTCGCACCCGATCGATCACCTGGTCACAAACTAATCACTAACTCATCTATAACTGATCAGCGATAATTCCCCCGTTTTGTCGGTTCTGGTCCCGGAGCAGTTCACAGTCTGAAATCTGGGAGGCGGTACCTCTCGTTAACTGACAGCTCCCCTGTTTACTTCTGACCAAACACAGCTCAGCCCGCAGCTGTCGCTCTCATCCAATCAGTTCACTGCTCGCACCTTAAGCCCCGCCAACCGGCTGTCAGGGAACGCTTGTTTTTAACACCTGGACAGTAATGTGCCATTGTAGGTGGGGTCTTTAGTTATGAGAACGTGTCTGCGTGTCACGTGATCGGCAATAGCCAATCGGACAACTGACGAAGGTCATGTGAGTGATAAGTATAAGGCTCGTTCGCGATGAACTGCGCCTAACCTCGTAAGCAGGCGGGTGGTGACGAAAAGCTGCCGGGAAGACTGACAGTGTAGGCGCTGTTCACCCGGCTTCAGTCTGTATAGGAAGTGACAGAAACACAACCCTTGACTGTGGTCAAATAGTTGGATAATATGTGGTCAGTTTATCAATTAATGCCGATTTGGAAACTTGTTCCGACGTTTCCGGAGATGGCAGTGTAGCGGATTGATTTCATGGAATTATAACTCCGCTACACCAGTACCCTCTAACATCAGGTTATAAATCGTTATATAACATCTCGTTCTGAGAACAGTAGTCTGTAAGCAAGGACGCTGGTGTTCTACTTCCACACTGAGAGCAAGATGTTCTCCCGTTGTCGGAAGTTTGTATTTAAAGTCAGAACTCAACAAATGCGTACTCCCAGGTACGGGAATACGAATTTGGCGTACTAAATTACGGTTATCTTAACCCCGCCCCCACCACCACCACCACATAGAGTACAACAGATGTGTGACGTGGAACCACCGAGCACTGACACCGCCCACCTGGGAGTGACCCGCTGTTATTAATAAACGAACCTCCCCCGCTAACGGAAACGCAAAGAAACACAATAACCTACAGTCGAAATAAAGCGCCAGCGTGATCAATAACTGATATGTCTGATCAGAAATACTAACTACTACGACAGTGAAGCTATTACTTATTATCAGAAAAATTAACTTCAAGCATCAAAGGCACTCGCCATCGAGAATCGCCTCAGTGTTTTCTAATTAATTAATAAAGTGGGTATTTATAAAATGTCTCATCGTGTGGTTATTAGCATAAATAGAAACACAAGTGTTTATGATCCAACAGCAAAAGAACAATTCACATCCTGTTTGAAGACTGGAAAAACAAAAAATAACATTTTATTTTGATTCAGTTCTTCTTCATACGAGCTGGATTTAAATTATTAAATACAACTCAATTAACATTTAACTATATTACATTACATTACATGATAAGAATTGTACTAACATGTCAGCAGCTGGTGCAGGTGGCATGAATTATTTTGTTTCTAGTGTTTTTAACACTGGTGACAGTGTGTTCATATTGTGTGCACATACTGCACACACCTTCATATATATCATTGCATATTATATATTTGTAATTAGCCTAAATTTGATTAATGTTCCTACAACTCTCAGATCTTCAATGGACTTTCTGCTTCTGGTGTTTCTACTGATGGTTATACCCCCTCTGGGCTCAGGATAAGTATGTTTCCCCACAACATTATGAACTGCGCTGGTTTTTGTCATGTCAAGTTGTTCTGTGTTAAGATATTTAATTTCGCACCACCAGCCCCACAGAAACACATTTGTCTTCTCTTTTTGTAGCCAGTATTACTGCACCAACCTGCTGACAGTGTAACATTGAAAACAACTTGCTAAAATGCTGCTTGAGTGGATGGATCTTCTGCACCTTTCTCTGTTCCTGTCGACGTGTGATGTTGGAAACAGGTACTTTTCTGTTACTATCTATTCTTTGTGTCTGCGGCTGTGTTCTTCTTCTTCTTGCTTACAGGTATGTGCCAAAAAATTAGAATATCGAGGAAAAGTCCATTTATTTCAATAATTTGTTTCAAAAAGTGAAACTTGTATGTTATATTAGTTCACTGCACACAAAGTGAAATATTTCAAGCCTTTATTTGTTTCAATTTTGATGATTATGGATTAAAGACAAAAAAAACCCAAATCCAGTATTTCACAAAATTAGAATATCATGACAAAGTTCAACATTGTAGGCTCCCTGTGTCCCAATCTAGTCAGCTAATTAATGCAAAACACCTGCAAAGGTTTCCTCAGCCTTGAAATTGTCTCAGTCTGGCTTAGTAGGCTTCAGAATCATGGGGAAGACTGCTGACTTGACGGTTGTGCAGACGACCATCATTGACACCCTCCATAAGGAGGAAAAGTCTCAAAAGGCAATTGCAAAAGAAGCTGGATGCTCACAGAACGCAGTATCAAAGTATATTAACAGAGTGTTAAGAAGAAGGGAAGAATGTGGCCGGAAAAGGTGCAAAAGTGACAGGGATGACCGCAGCCTTGAGAGGATTGCCAAGCAAGGGCGATTCAGAAATCTGGGGGAGCTTCATAAGGAGTGGACTGAGGCTGGTGTCAGTGCATCAAGAACCACCACATACAGACGTCTACATGACATGGGCTACCGCTGTAGAATTCCATGCGTCAAGCCACTCCTGAACCAAAAACAACGTCAGAAGCGTCTGTGCTTGGCTAAGGAGAAACAGTACTGGTCTATTGCCCAGTGGTCCCAAGTCCTGTTTTCAGATGAAAGCATATTCTGCATTTCATTTGGAAATCAAGGTCCCAGAGTCTGGAGGAAGACCGGAGAGGCACAAAAGTCAAGCTGCTTAAAGTCTAGTGTGAAGTTTCCACAGTCAGTGATGGTTTGGGGAGCCATGTCATCTGCTGGTGTGGATCCCTTGTCTTTTATCAAGTCCACAGTCAACGCAGCTGTCTACCAGGAAATTTTAGAGCACTTCATGCTTCCCGCTGCCGACAAGCTTTTTGGAGCTGAAGATTTTATTTTCCAGCAGGATTTGGCACCTGCCCACACAGCCAAAATTACCAGTACCTGGTTTAATAGCCATGGAATAACTGTACTTGATTGGCCGGCAAACTCACCTGACTTAAACCCCATTGAAAATCTATGGGGTATTGTCAAGAGGAAGATGAGGGAACACAGACCCTGAAATGCAGACAAGCTGAAGGCCAATATCAAAGCAACTTGGGCTACCATAACACCTCAACTGTGTCAAAGGCTGATCGCCTCCATGCCACGCCGCCTTGATGCAGTAATTAATGCAAAAGGAGGCCCAACAAAGTACTGAGGACATAATACAGTACATTAACACACTTTTCAGAAGGCCAACATGTGTTTAAGATCCTTTTTTTATTGGTCACATGAAATATTCTAATTTTGTGAAATACTGGATTTGGTTTTTTTTTTGTCTTTAATCCATAATCATCAAAATTGAAACAAATAAAGGCTTGAAATATTTCACTTTGTGTGTAGTGAACTAATATAACATACAAGTTTTACTTTTTGAAACAAATTATTGAAATAAATGGACTTTCCCTCGATATTCTAATTTTTTGGCACATACCTGTATTTGTTAATTTTGAACAACATACTCATCGGACATGTTGTAAGTCTTACGTTTAATTTGGCCTATGTTATCAGTGGTGGGTGTAGAAAGGGTGACTGTGTAGTAACCCTGTACTGTACAGCACTCATTGAAACATCTGTTCACATCTGTATCCTGATTGCCTACTAATACCACAGCGACCAGCTGACATCGCCACCTGCCGACAGATGACGTTACCTACACCTACAACTCACAGGGTTCGAAATCAGAATCCATCAATGAATCAATTATTCAAAAACGTTATTGCCAAGTATGTTAAAATATAAAGAATTTGACTCCAGCTCAATGGACCCCGATGTGCACCAAATTAAATAAAAATGAAAAAACAAAAACTAAAAACGGACCTACAAGTAATAAAACACCAACTAATACTCCACTTTTGAGTTGGAATTTTTTATAGCATTATAAATTATTATAATTATTTATGATTATATATTATTAGCCTACTTGGAATTTTTTATAGCATTATCAATTATTATAATTATTTATGATTATATATTATTAGCCTACTATACTACTAAAACGTTTTGTATCAGTATATTAATTTACATGTAGGCTAGACCTACATTTAGCTGATCATACCTGTGCACTTTTAACGTTAAATTCTAAACACAGTACTTGTAAGAGAGTATTACACTGTGGCTTCGGTGGGCTGCTTTTACTACATTTTTTGACTGCTTGCTAACTTTAACAGGCTATTAGTCCACCGCTAGCCTACGTTTGAGGAGCCGGACACTTTTCCTTTAAGAGGACTCTCCCTTTAATTCACCTGACGTAAACACACCTGAGCTGGACTTCCTGTGTGTTTTAACACAAGAAGAGCAACAACAACAGAAGAAGAAGAAAAGACGAAGAAGAGAAGGAGGTGGAGACGGCGACGATCAAATCGTTTCGGTGAGTTTTGAATAAGCGTGGATCAGTTTTAATCTGAGTTCTCTTTTAGTTTGAGACCTCTGTCCACCTCTGTTACCATGTTAGCTCATGGCCCGTTTATCTTTAGGTTGATTATTGACGGGTTTATTTCTGATCACCGATCAGTTACACACAAGGTAATAAACGCAGATAATGACGTGTAATACTAGATCGTTTGTTTTTAAAAATGTGAACACAACTTTTGTACGTGTCCAAGGTCGTAATAAAATCGCTGTACGAACATCTGGTCATGACCTCTGACCCCGAATCTGACCAAGTCTTCCAGGGAGCATAGCAGGGGTCACACAAGGAGAGAGTAAAACGATAGTGGTGGAAAGTCAGTATTGGAGTTACTTGTACTTTACTTGAGTATTTCCATGTTCTGCTACTTGGATTTCATTACATTTCAGAGACAAATCTTAAACATTACATGTAGGGGAGACCAGGGACAGGTTTAACACTTTTTTGCTCCAGCACTTGTAACTCACTGACCTTTTCAGCTAGGGTTTCAAATTTGTATACAAAGTACCCACATTTGTTTACTACAAATGGCCCAAATTCAAGCCTTTGCATGAATATCACAGACCTCAAGGTGATGTCAAATACATGGTGTTCCTCTGTTACAACTTACCCCACCAGTATGGTGTGGTGTGGTACAACACATGCTGGAGCATGCTGTAATGGCTAGATAGGAGGAGCAACAACAGAGGCCAGACATGCTTCAAAATATAAGAACAATCCAGAGTAATGCCTCAGTCTCTCTGTGACTGACCTTTACTCAGATCCACTTTCTGTTTGAGTCAGGAGTGTGTGTGTCTTTAACTGTCTGTATGCAGTGTACCTGTGCAGAGCTGCTGGAATGCACCAGAACGATGCTCCACCACTTCTTTTCTCTCCTAGAGAGGAAAAAGGACTACTGGCATAATCTGGCTGAAATTCATAACGCTGCATTATTGTATGCCTGACAATTCAATCATCAGTTAAGTGTTTGTCCTGCAAAATGCAATGCTCTGAGTTGTAATATTAAAATTTAAGGTGTGATTGACTCAAACAGTGCACGCAGAATTGGAACTCGCAAGTTCACACTGACACAGTTTAGTGTCAACTACAGACTTTGTTTACAAAAGACAAGTGACAGAACGAAACTCAGATCATCCAGACTGACACACTAGAGTGTGACCTCCAGGAGGGGCTGTGGTGACAAACATCAGATGTGACGATCAGCAGCAGAAACAGACTTCACCTTTACCTTACATGATGCTGGGATTTAAATGGACTGTTTACCTGTGAGTGATCAGCTGTAGGTCTATATGACACAAACAGGGTTCAGCATGGCCAGGCCAGTCGCAGCCCTGCACACAGCTGATGTGTTCACTGTTGCCGGGTGACATGTGAACCAACATGACGCAGGAGGAGCTCAGTGAACAATCAGTACATTTTGGAAACGGGTGGTGGGGGGCTGGACCATCTGCTACAGGACTCCTGGATTTTCTGGTCTCTGGACATAGTTCTTTATTACTCTGTTGAAGGTTTGAGTTCAGTGTCAGGTTGCAGATCAACCAGATGAAGAATCTGAATATCTAAATGACTAAATTCAGTACAGTATGTCAGTATTCTATATCTACAGTATACACACATATATACGGTAAAGTACTGAAGTTTTAAAAAGAGACAGTCCTGCTGCCACCACCACCACGTCAGATAATCTCTGTTCTCTTTGACAGAGAAGCCTGAAGACACCCAGCAGGAAGTACCAGAATGGGGGAGAATGAGGGAATGAAGACAAGACAAACTGAGAGAGATGATGAGATGGTGAGGTCAGCCATAATGGAGCCCAGCACCCTGCAGTGGCCTGGAGACAGACAGACAGGGGGGCATGCAGGTAAAGGTGACAGAATGAGTGTGAGGTCAAGTGAGGTGGCCAGTTGGACAGAAAGTGAGAGACAGCTTTTGGCAGAGACGGAGAGGACCGGAGGAGGGGCACATGAGGAGGAGGGGGCAGGGCTGCAGTCACACCCAGAGAAGGAGGAGCCTGTAGAGAACAAGCTCCCTGAGAAAGCAGCTCAGGTGTTCACCCTGGACGTCCTCCCCTCCCCATCCCCACCCACAGAGCATGAGGCACTCTGGGAAATGGAACCAGAGAAGAGTCCCTTCTTGGGTCCCCGAGGAGTCCAACAGGACTACAACCAACAGGTCTACCAGTACGAGTGGACCAGAGACACGCCTCCTTCCAGATGTAAATACACATGTCTTCTGTCTGACCACACCTATTAGGACCTGCCTGTTTTCTAAATTCTTACCTCCTCTCATCTGCCTCTAACCTTTGTTTCTCAGGAAGGTGGGCTCGAAACTGTCAGTCTTTCTTGGTGTGGGGTTTTAACCAACCTGTCCCTCAAATTGGCATGGCTCCTGTAGTCAGGTGGCTGGGGTTCTAACTTGTGTGTCTCAACCTCAGGTGGGCAGTGCTGTCCAAGCAGGGACACCCTGAAGATGGGCGTGTCCCTGATGACATCGGCGCTCTTCTTCCCCTTTCTGGTTTGGGGGGGGTTTGTGTTCCTTCCATTTGATGCCCCACTGATGGATGGTGCCCCCCTCAGGCTCATCTACACATTGCGCTGCTCTGTGTTTGCTGCCACCCCAATCATTCTCGGTGAGTACACCACTAATGAAGAACCTGGGCCCACAGGTATGGTGCTGGGCTGTAGCAATGCTTTTGGTGTAGAGGCCAAATGATATTACTACTTTGGAATTTGTCACGAGATGCACGGCAACCAAAAACAACTGAGAAATTTTTATGGCTCAAACTCCGAAGCATGAGCAATCCTTGTCTCTGTGTGTGTGTAGATGCAGGCTTTGAGTAAATAAATAAAGACAGGCAATGTCAGGTGAAATCTGTCTCACCTGTCTCTCAGGTTGGCTGGTCCTGGGGGTCACTCGTCTCCGGTCAGGTGTGTTTCGGCCCCTGTTGGATGATGAGGTGAAGGAGGTAGAGCTTCAAGAGGTCAGCATCCATCGCCACTTCATCTCTGAATCCACCTCTCTGTTCATGATCTACTTCCTGCAACTGATTGTCATGGCGATGTACCTGAGCCAGGAGCAGCTGAAGCTTGTCCCACTGCTGACTATTGTCTTCGCCTTGGGACGGTGAGGTTTAATAGAGTGTGAGTGTGAGAAGCAGTGCTGTTTCAGTTTATCTAAAGGTGTGTTTGTTTTGCGCCTCCAGGCTGGTGTATTGGGTGGCGGCAGCGTTCGGCAGTAGTATCCGTGGTTTCGGTTTCGGCCTCTCTTTCCTGCCAAGTCTCACCATGGTGGTCGCCAACATCTACTTCATCTTCACGGTGGAAGCGTCGGGGTCCATCTTTAGTCTCCCGTCTGAGGAGGTGGTGACTCCACCTGCCGGCAGACC